TGTGCTACTTACTTCTATGATGAACCTGTCGCTTTTTAAAAAAAAGTTTCCAGGTTATAATTTATAACAGCTTTATGATTTGTACTGCTTTTTCCCTCCTAATAAAATGCTGGTTTGTTTTGTGATGTAAAAAGTATTTCAAAAGATGTAAATAAGTTAGAAATTAAACATAGTTTTTCATTAAAGATATGAAATTTATGCTAAAGCTTCCAAAGCACAAATGCATATTTTTGTACATCTCATTTTAATCACATGCAGAACATGAACATGAGTTCAAATTTTAGCCTATTCTCAGACTATTCAGTTAATAAATACTAGCAGAACTGCTGATTTTTAACACTGTGCACTCCAGGCTGCAGGCAACAGCATCAAAGCTGTAGCTGCAGTTGAAGAAGCAGTCCACTACTCAGTAAAAGGAAAGGTCTTGAGACAAACTCTTTACCTCCTCTCTGCTGTATCAAGAATTGAATACAGTAAAGGAAAAAAAACCCACAACAACAACAACAACAAAAAAACCCACCCCAGAGTTTAGATTGCTGTGGAAGAAAAGTGACAATGATTGTTGTTTACTGCAGGTAGCTTACATAATGTGCCAACCTTTTTTGTATGTTTTGTACCAAGTTCTGAAACAAAAGGAAACATTCATAAAACGTATGTGCAGAGAAATGTATATAAGCTATATTTTTGTTAGAATTGTAATAGAACCTTACTTTTGTCATAGCTAAGGCAGGTTGCTGTGTATTAAAATGCTGCATTGTGTACACTTGAAGAATGGTGTTTCTGGTGAAGTATGTTTATTCATTCTTTCTTGTTATCTATTACAACATTCTTCAATGGATTTTTATTCAGATAAGTTGAACCTGTGTTTTTTATACTGTAAACTGTTTGCTTTTGCCATTCCTTTATTTTGAACTAGTGCTCTCGGTGGTTGTACCCTTACTATTCTGATGACTGAACGCTCACTGCAGCTTGCATTAGAGAAAAGAATTTCACAAGATTCAAAGCTTTGTCACCCTAATTTAATTTGTTAAATACAGCAACACTGTAAGACCACATCCACGTAAAACATTTCAATTCATTATTTCTGTCACACTTCTGTCACAAGGAAGAAAATGTGAATGGTGGAAGGAACTAACAAATAAAGTTCAGCTTCAGTTCTGGTTCACGAGTTAAGGCGTTAATGTGGAATCAGTATATTCATTGCAAGATCCTGTGTTTCTTCCCACAGTCAGACTGAGCAAAAAAGTAATTTGTGTGGAGATATGTCCTCTTTAAGAGCAAAAGAAGTCAGCATAGATTAGTTGCCATCTGCCAGTTATGTCAGATCACCTAGACACTATCCTGTCTACTTGACCAACAGCTGCTTGTTTCATGCTATTGACAGTGCACAGGCATTTAAAACAGCCACCTCAGAGTTATACAAGTATTAAGGGTAGGGGTGATAAAGATATTTAGTTTCATTACAGGTACATATGGAATTCTACATTACTGAGAGGTGGAAAAAGAAATTTAAAAGGACAAAGGTGGAAGTAAAATTTCTTATCTGCTCACCCTAATTTTGCTCACTGCACTTCACAACAGCAAGTGACAAAACTCTTATTTAACAGAAGTGGGCTAGTATAGCCTTACTGTATTCACTGTTATGCTCAAAGTTCATTTGTAAAACAAAGAACTCAATTTAATACTTTCAACTCAGCCATCTTTAAATGAAGAGACCCTTGGGAGATCTGTTACCAATGGAGTGTATCTGAGAACAACGGCACTTTTGATAGATATAAATATTTATACATGCATGTAGGACTATTTAAGGCTGAATTACATCCCTGTAAAATGCACAGTGACTTTTGTGACTAGAACTGTTCAGTTAAATAGGTCGGTTTCTCCACCACGTATTCACTTAAAAGCAGTCACATAAAAATGAAATCGTTGTTCTCATGGTATAGGAAGAAGAGATAATAAAAAGATTATATTCCTTCTCTCTTGTTCTAACTGATGATAGCAGTAGCATCTCCAAAAAAACCTAAGTTTTATAAGTTTACGCTGTACAGTTTTAGTAACAATGTGTAAACACACACTTGATACACAACTAAACAGTTACATCTCAACTGAAATAAGGAAAAAAGGGCCAAAGAGAAACTGATCTCCCCAGCTTGTACTGGGGTAGCCAAAAATACAACACTTGCTGATGAAGACAAGCTGAAACAATGCAAACTGACAGGCAGAAAGGCTCGTGCCTTCCACCCACAACTTTAATACCATATACCAAAAGGCATGTTATCATCAGCTGTAATCCAAACACCTTTCCTATGCTGGTTTATAGAATAGCCACTCTAAGCAAAGAACATGCAGCTCAAGATTTAACACTGACTTAGCCTTCCTGAATTGAGAAAGTATTTTCATAACTCCTCCACCTGTTCTGTGTTTTTGAAATATGTCATTTTGAGCTCTACTCTCAAACAAGATTAGTTGTACAAGTTGACTAAAGCAGGGAAAAAAATGCAGCTCAAAATTTTACTGTCCCTCCACCTTGCCTTACAGGGAAGATTGAGGCAAGAGTCAAGAGGCAAAGCTTGGCTTCTGAGTGGTAGGGGGAAGGCAAGTACCCACGAGGGCTGGGGGAAGCAAGTCTAAAAGGCTCCTTGGTTTCTTCTAGGAAGATGGAGCTTCCTCCTTTTGCTTCTGCTCTTGTCAGGATCTGCTTAGCCCGTTGTTTAAATTGCACTTACTGCAGCTGCTGGATCTCAAGGCTGGAATTACAGCCCCATAGTCTCCTGTACTGAAAACAGTTCTCATCAATTCAAAGGGAAGAGATGGCACTGAAAAGTTGCATGAGACTTACTCCTAAACTGTTTAAGTGCTGGATCTTCTGAGTAGACCTGAGGACAGTGGCACCCTCTTCTACAGGGCTTTATGACCAAGAAGTTCCAAAACTACCCCCTTCCCTAGCTCTTCTCTGTTCACATGGTAAATCACCACTCATTACCTCATCCTCTTTCCCAGTTTCTTTGTATCAGTTCCGAGTTTAACTTTGCTTTTTTATACAACACTTGCTGATGAAGACAAGCTGAAACAATGCAAACTGACAGGCAGAAAGGCTCGTGCCTTCCACCCACAACTTTAATACCATATACCAAAAGGCATGTTATCATCAGCTGTAATCCAAACACCTTTCCTATGCTGGTTTATAGAATAGCCACTCTAAGCAAAGAACATGCAGCTCAAGATTTAACACTGACTTAGCCTTCCTGAATTGAGAAAGTATTTTCATAACTCCTCCACCTGTTCTGTGTTTTTGAAATATGTCATTTTGAGCTCTACTCTCAAACAAGATTAGTTGTACAAGTTGACTAAAGCAGGGAAAAAAATGCAGCTCAAAATTTTACTGTCCCTCCACCTTGCCTTACAGGGAAGATTGAGGCAAGAGTCAAGAGGCAAAGCTTGGCTTCTGAGTGGTAGGGGGAAGGCAAGTACCCACGAGGGCTGGGGGAAGCAAGTCTAAAAGGCTCCTTGGTTTCTTCTAGGAAGATGGAGCTTCCTCCTTTTGCTTCTGCTCTTGTCAGGATCTGCTTAGCCCGTTGTTTAAATTGCACTTACTGCAGCTGCTGGATCTCAAGGCTGGAATTACAGCCCCATAGTCTCCTGTACTGAAAACAGTTCTCATCAATTCAAAGGGAAGAGATGGCACTGAAAAGTTGCATGAGACTTACTCCTAAACTGTTTAAGTGCTGGATCTTCTGAGTAGACCTGAGGACAGTGGCACCCTCTTCTACAGGGCTTTATGACCAAGAAGTTCCAAAACTACCCCCTTCCCTAGCTCTTCTCTGTTCACATGGTAAATCACCACTCATTACCTCATCCTCTTTCCCAGTTTCTTTGTATCAGTTCCGAGTTTAACTTTGCTTTTTTTTTTTTCTTTTGCTTTTCAGTTTTTGTCGCTTTGGTTTGTGGTTTTTGTTTTAGTTTGGGGTTTTTTCCTACTCCTGTTTAGCTTGCAGATTACTGCTGATATCTTGGATTTGAAAAAGGCATTGGGTACTTAGAGGCTTTTTATTTTTAAACTCTAAAATACTATTTATCTTTACAAACTTGGTGCTGATTTCTCTGCAGTCAAACTTCAGCTGAGAATTTAGTATTCATCTAGCAGAAGTGTTTTCCTAGTACTGAACACATCAACTACAACTGCTTAAGAAAGTATTTTACATCCTGAAAATACATGGTAAGGCCAGTGCTTTTTATTAGGTACAAACTAATTTGATGAATGCACTATGGAAACACTGAGCTAAACCAATCACACTTTATGCTAGACATGGTAATGGTGCTGTATAAACTCCAGTAGTGTACATTAACCCACACTAAAACTGCAGCTACTGCAAGCAAGAAGTATCTATACACTTTGCTCTGCCAAAAAGTAAAACCTGACAAACTGGTGTTACCTACTTTTCTTTCTTGCTCTTACCCTTGCTGCAGGACAGTAACTTCAAATGCAAAAAGTCTATTTAAGAACTGTTTCTTTTGGAGTTTTTTGTAGAGACATAAGTCTGAGCCATCAGTGACTGAAGTTTAGCTTCAAGAAACAAGTTACAGAAAGCAGGAAACCTGAGATTTTTTTTCTGTGCCTCCTTTCTGCACATAACACTGGAATGCCCCCAGGTGCTTCAGTTATCAACTATCTAAGGATTTTCACAATTCTTAATTTTGACATCTAACCACGATATTTTTAAAGATTAGGAACAATATTAGAAACTATTATATGAGTCACCATTATCTTCAGTCTTTCAAGAGAACACCGTTTCTGCTGACAGAGTAAGCCAAAAGTAAGTTTCAACATGCAAAATACTCCTTTGAGAAGAGTAGCCAACAACCAATAAAAAATCCTGTATAATACACAACATTAAGTGTAAACCTTAATGGTAGTAATATTCCCAGTAGCTCACACTTTCCTTTACTCTCACATTTAACACACATCCAGTTTATACACATGTAGCCTGTATTCGAGCAATTTAAAATTTGAGCTGCAAATCACCATTTTGCGCCAATTTCTGAAATAGTGTTAAACTGCGGAGTCTAGATTCTCGTTCACCATCCTTCCACAAAATAATGAGGTGGTCAGCAGAGCACGTAGCCAGTCCCAGTTCACCAAAGTACAGGAACATCTGCAATGAAACACTTACTATTACCATGATGCTCACATGACATCATCAGCTTGCTTAAATGTTCAGTGTACAGGTGGACTAAACAAATATATTTGTGTCAGAAATGGTTCTGCTTGAAAATCGGTATGCAAAATTACCATGCACACTTTCTAGATATTTGAGATGTCATAAAATCCCCACATGAAAAAAACTCTTAAACAGCACTTCCCACTGAAAGATCTCAGTTTAGAAAAAGCAGTAAAGCCTTAAATATAGGGAAGCTAAGGTACAGTATATTGAAGAAACTTGTTCCAAGTCAGCAGTAGAAGAGTGCCTTGCACAAACTCTGATCTGCTGGTTTCTTAGGAATAGAAGCCACTATTCTGTTCACTTGAGTACACTGTCCCTTTCCCACACAACACCACAAGTTACCATCAGCGGGCCTGGAAGGGATTTTGCAAGAGCAATGGAGCTGACAAGTCATGTAGTCATGCCTGACTTCAAAGACTTCCACAAGGCTGCCTAAAATTAGCCACTAATTGCAGTTCAACACAACAGCCAATGGAACCAGGTCACACAGTGCCACTGTGGCATGCTTGCAGAGTTCTGACTCAGTTTGTTGAAGGGATCTGCCCAGCGGAAGCATTCAGGCCAAGGATGGTGCTACAGCCTACCTGCTCTGGGAACAGCCACTTACTAGCTAGGCAGTTCCGGTAGAAATACTCTGGCCAAGCCCACATCTTTGATCGTCACATTTCATCAATACTTGGCGTTTCCAGACTTAAGTGTTCCAGTCTGCCCAGAGTTTAAAAACTGAATTTTCCATATGTGGAACGTTGCAGGAAATCACATCCATCATCTCAGTTACTCCTTGGCTGCGCAGCATCCCAGCAAAGACCCAACATGTGCATCTTACCTTCTCTGCTGTGCCTCTTGCTGAATTACACATCACATCCTCCTTCTTAGATAGCATCTTTCCATACTGATAACAGGGCCTCTTTCAACAATTTTTCAGAAAGAAAAGTGGCAGAGAGGGACAGAAAGCCTTACAGAAATCCCTGTAGCAGAAAGGTTTACCTTAACTGTTAGTGAAAACCTTTCAGCTTTTGGCAGCAGCAGTTCTGAAATCCAGTCAGTCTCATGAATACTCGTGAGCAAAACTACTCCAGAACCACCCCGCTCTTCTCTCCCTGCCCCTCTCCCTGCTCCTGCCAAGAATGTGTATAGAGGTCCACTGTAAGAAAGTGATTTGTTACTCCAATAGTTTGTCAAACACAGAAAGGTGTGGAGGGAAAATGTTATTTAAAACAAAAATATACTCTTATTAGGCAGACAGAAGCACAGCATGGTACCTAATTTAAAATTAAAAAGACCTCCTTAAGGCTCACAGCATAGAGGACTAAGGAATTCCTGAATGGGTTTTGTTTTATATGAACCCTTGTTTCAATTGCGAATTTAAGATGAAATCTGGAACAAACACACAGTTCCAAGCTGTATTGTTTGCAGTCTACAAAGAAACCCAATACCCCACCAGATTATCTGTAGCGTGTACATACCTGCACATACAAGCCTGTGAGGCATCAGTGAGTGAGTTCTCACTAGACTTTTAAGTCAGTATCTAGTATTGTTTTCACACTGCACTAAATACACCACACAATCAATGTGCTCCCAGCCTCCAGAGCCAGGCAGTTACAGCTGTTTAAGAAACACTGCCAAAATTAAATAAGCAAGTGAAATTCATTTTTTCTTGTTCTTAACTGAAGCTGACCTACCTGCACAGCTGATGAATGACCAATCAAATCACCCACCAGCTCCAAGAAATACACAGGTGTATTCTCCTGCATCTTCTTCGCAGCTTGGTTTGCCTGCTTGTTTGCCCTTCCAAATCCCCACATGTTGAAAAACCCTGGGGGAAAAAAAAAAAAAAAAAAAAAAAAATCTTTGTTTTGGCAAAAATCACAAATGTAATTTATTTCCTCTAGCTAAAGAGAGAGCTACAGGAGTCACTTAAAATCTAAAAGCAGGACAGTCTGCATGGCAAAATGACAGAAGGAATGTACTGAGCAGCATTTCCACATCTAGATTATTCATCTTGAGGGGGGAAGGAAACATAGCTACTTTGTTTGTTGTCCTTACTAGACGTAATTTAGCAAATGTTGAATTACTCATCTGGATGAGACAATATACAGAATTAGCAACAAATCCAAGGACTGCCTAAATGAACTAACTGAACAGCAAAGGTAGACGCAGCACAATAATGTTTACCTTTTCTCTGTCCACTTAAACTGTTACTTGTGCAAACAGGAAAGAAATGGGGTGCCAGTCTCTCCCCTGTGTGTCTTGCACTAAGACATAAGAGTGCTGGTATACAGGTAACAAGCAAGTTTCTGATGCTGAATTGCCTGGTTTTATATCACCAACTGGCTTTCTCCTGTAGATTTACAACTATCAGCCAAACTACAGTGCAAAGATACTACTCTACATGTTTCATTGAGGTAGCAAGAAAATACACATCTGTACCACAGCCTCCAGAAGAACTGTGTAATAATGCTGAGAGAAGTAAGAAAGTTGGGTTCTGTGCACAATGTATTTCAGACTTTCTTCCTGACCCTTCCCTCACCCCATCAGCACACAAACCAAGAAGCATGCTAGGCCACGGCCCTGATGCAAGGCAGACAACTGGAGAGATGAACAACTACTCAGGGGATTCCTCAGAATAAAAACAGCAAATGAACAGCCATCCACCTATCTCACTATTGCATGTGGTTTCTTTCAAATTTCTGCAATCATAGAAGTTATAAATTTCCAATGTGAGACCAATACCACTTGACACAGTAAAAAGCAGAACTGTGTAGATCAGCTGTCACCAGCAATACTGAAGCCAGAACACTCCTGAAAAAGTGTTTCTAAACCAACTCAGGCAGCAAAAAGATATTTGCAAAAATTACCATCAACAGGTGAACAGCTGGGTAGACAAGATACATCAGGAAAATTATTCACAGCTTGAATAAAAAAATTCCTACAAGACAGAGTAACAGCTCATTACTGTTCCCAGTCCCTAACATTAATTACATTGTCTAGAGCACCTGCCCAAGACCACAACTACCAGTGCCCAGGGAAGCTGCTGGCCTGGTCAAAGAGCAGCAAGCGCTACAAAGGCAATGTCTGTAATTAGGGAAAATGCTTCCTAAAACACTAGCAACTAGCCCTGAGGACTGCAACACCCAGAGGTAGTATGCAGGCAAGGTTAGATAGAGCCTCAAAGTGAGTCCCAACGTCATTCCAATTTCAAGAAGGAGACGTGGAAAATGCATTTTTTTGTGCCAGCTGCTCATCTGTAAGCTTCTCTTTAGCTTTCTTCACAAGGTCTTGTAACTATCTACTCTTGCATGGTAGACGATCCAGCACTATTCAGTACAAGAAGCAGCGGATCAAGGTTTGTCAGGAGAGGTCATAATTTTTTGTTAAACCACCTAATACAACTGTAAACCCTAAATAATCTTTATGGCACAGAACTGCTTCAGCTGGACCTTCTAACTTCCCATATCAGATCTTGGAGGTCTCATACACCCGTATCTTCTCCAGTTCCCCCCTGCTCACCTGTCATCAGTTGGCTGACCACAAGACATTATCTCCTCTTACAAAGCCTGCAAGGTTCTCTATTCCTATACGGTGAATACTGGGTTTTCCGTTATCCTTTTTAAATGTTCTTTTCACCCCCTACTACTAGCAAACCTGTTGGAACTGGTTCAGCTGGCAGCTGCTGCTTTTCTCGGAGCTCCCAAATGCGCACACTGCCATCTTCTGAACAGGATATCAGCTGCCTGTAAAAACAGTTCATAAGCAACACTAGCATGGATACTTATCCGGGCAAGTCACCTTGTGATGTTTCTATAAAATAGACAGCAAGTGCCTCAGGTTCTACCCAAGTTTGCTAGAACTCTCAAATGTAGCAGGACATCCAGATGTTCCATACAAAACAAGGTGCTTCTGTAGCAGGACAAACTAAAATGGACTTGCAAAATAGGTGGAAAAGTACACATTTTCAATCCATTTTAAAAACATACCACTCTGTAAAACAAAAAATAACAAGTCTAGACTCTGCAAACACAGTTGCATTAACTGGCTTCTGCAAGCTTACTTTCATTAAGCAAAAAAGTATTTTTTCTTATGGAAAAATAACAAAAGGAAAGATACTCCTTTACATTACATGTTTAGTATAGCACATGAATTTACAAGATGAAGGCCCTAATTTTTATCTTCTGACAGACTTGCTCCATTGAAAAACAGTATAAAGGGATCTAACAACACAACTATTAGATTACATGTATGTAGCATACTGTCCAGCTTGGCTGTCAAAGTTCCAGCTAGAAATTCAGCACTAATGAACAAAGGCTGGAAGTTGTCATTTTTTCCTAAAACATTTCAACTGTTATGAAATATTTAGCAAAAAATATTTACTGAATATTCCATAGGCCTTTGCTTTATAGAAGTAAAATGTCATTAAGCTATATTTTCACAATGTAGACAAAAGTGCTTTATCAAGTCTGATTTTGAAAACAGCCAAAATATTTCACCCTGAGCCTGGGCATCAAGCATACTGGATTATAGTTTTTTCACATTGAATTACAATGCTGCATTTTCAAAAATCAGATCAACAAGCTCTATCCAATAAAAGCAGATCAAACTAAAGATCAAGTCCCTGCCCCAGAAATTAGATGTAGCTTTGCAGACTGTCTCTAGCCACCCTCCCAAGTTGTGCATTTCTTTACTGCATTAACAAAATGTACTGTGACTCATACCTGTTTGGAAGCTTCTCAATGTGCAGTACAGAGGAGTCATGAGCAGTTCTCTGGCAGGCAATCACACGCTTCATTTGAAGATTATATACGTATATGCCTTTCCCAACAGCAGCAAACACACACTGGAAAGAAAATTCAATGGAACAACTTACAGAAACAGATACCGAAAGATAACCTTGCATGTAATGGATTTCCAGCAGTACTATGACATCATCTATCCCACATTATCTAGCTTGTTTCTGTCCTCGTGTTACTGCTTTATCCCAAAGATACAGAATCAACAAGTTACAGAAAAAATATAGAATTTTTGGAGGAAATGAGAGATATCCTCCTATACTCTAAGCAGTTGTTTCACTTCTGTATTTTCATGCTGTACCTTACAGTCTCAGTGGAAACCAAGGATACCAACAAATCAACACACTTCTGCAATTAAACAGTTATGTTCTTACACTAAAATAATGCTCTGTTTTGACAAACTCTTGTTTTATCAAGAAAGACTGAGAATACAGGAAGCTGGTTTGCATTTTTGCCTTTTTTTTAAAAAAAATTAACTGAAGCTGCAGAAAGAGGTCTTGCTTAAGCATTTGGGCTCTACTAAGCATAGAAAAGGAACTCTGGCACAGAATGGTATTACACAATACTGTGTAAAAAGAACTGGAACCATTTTGCATTCTACGCTCTTCTGCAGAAGAGTGCAAGGATTCCATCTCATAACTATCACGGCCCTAAGAAGCCACAGTTTACAGATCATTAGACCTGGACCCTCTCATGACTTGTGATGATTTTAGAGGGGACAAGCATGTGTACATACATATGATAAATATTTGATACCAAACAGAGGAGTGCAAAATGCTTCCATTCAGTACGTATTTGGAGTTTTGAACATACCTTGTTTGGGTAATGGCACACTGGATCTTTTCCCTGAATGGCCTGCTTCCATTTACAAAGCCCAAACATTAATGTGTATAAGCAATTCACACTACACACTTATCAACATTTTGTGAAACTGGTAACCCAGTGTCTTTGACTAGGATTTCCTACATATATTCAATGGTGTTTGGACACTGTTCAAAATTCTTTGTCCAGGTTTTTGCTGGGTTTTGTCTTGGTTTTGGTTGGCTTTTTTTCTGATGCACACCTGTGGTGGGAGCTCTAATAGCTCTGAAACTAAGCTCAGATTTCTGATAGCACTCTACCAAATCAAGGAAGAACCCCTGAGCACATTTTTATTATTCTCCTAGTATTGTGTGAGGCTCAATTCAATGGTCTTCCACATCATTCTTCCACTCCTATATCTCAGCCTTTTCTCCCTTACAGTCTTCACCTTGAGACAGGGTCTTGAGTTTCATATAGTTTCATATAGCTTTGCAAAAGATGCTCTTCACAGATCACTTTTTTTTTCCCCTTACACAAGACCCAGCAAAACCCTGGTCATCTCAAACCCCAAGAAAATAACAGGTGATGAAGCATAAATTGTACACCTATCTTAACAGGCAAGTTACAAAAGAGTATCAGGACAGCAGATGCACTCCTTAGCACCGTTTCCTAGTATTGCCAAACCTTAACCATCCCGTTTGTTTCTGAATGATATTTTACCTACAAGCTCAGTATCAAACTAGACAAATCATCTTCTCCAACTACCTGCCTAACTACCAAGTCTGCTGAAAAAGTTCCTAACAGTAAAAACACCTATTTTATTTTATTTTTTTTAAACATGAAGAAGAGCGTTCTGCTTTTAGATAGCAGGTGACAAAGTAATTTATTGTAGGAATACTGTTCTTCACCACTTCCGAAGTAGCAACTTTATAATACAGACAGCTCTGCCCTAAAAGCACCTTCTATATCAGGACGTAGCATTAGAACCATCTTTTCTTCTCACCACTCAAAAGTCTCACAATAAATAAAATTTTGCAGCAATTTGTTTAGTTCAGTTCCATGAATGGAAGAAAGCGTCATCAGCCTCAGATTCCACATTCAATGTTTTAACTACTTCAGAACTTCCCAAAATTATTTTCCCCTCCCTTAAAACACATCTTGTGTAGCTTTCAAGCAGGGAATCAAAATGTTTTGAAGCCAAATCATAGAAGTTCTCCTAAACAGGATTGGCTTTTTGCTCCTTCTAGAACTAAGCACCCACAACAAAACCACTGGAAATCCTATCTTTAGAGACAACTACTTTTCCTTCTCCCCACACTCGCCCCCAGCAATGTTTCTCTCTCCAGTGTTTTAGGAATGCTCTTTTCACAAACAGAGAAATGCATCAGACGACTACTTCGCCCTCAGCCTGCGTTCAGGCTTTTCCACAGTTTTTAGTTTGTTACAGCTCATATCTCTGAATTCATTTCCAGGAATCCCTTTCTTAATCATTCCCCAGCAATGAACCTACAGGACCCAAAACAGAATCCCACTATACCCAATCTATGAAACATCTTTTCTTTTGCTACTAACAGTTGGTAACATTTCACAAAAGTAAATAACAATCTGAGGATTTTTAGTGTTTTCTGAACAATAACTGGGTTCTGCCTGCATATTCTGGCCAAGAACTCCAATATTATCTTCAAAGCATGAATACGGTAGACTTGATTTGGACCTATATTAGTGCTCTTTACTACGGAGTATAGCCCATCTGAACAGAAGCAGCAACATTTATTTACTAATAAGCATAGACATATGCCTGTTCTTTAATTCACTTCATAGTACTCTCAGCTATAACTGCTCAAGAGACGCATTATTGCGGAAACTGCAACTCCAGAACCATGCAATGTAAAAGATGTATGCCATCAAAAACACACCTCCTGTTTGTTTTTCTCTAGTGGTACTGTAAACAACTAATAAATCTTCGTCAGTCAAAAGGAAATGCTGTTGTGACAGTACATTATGCTAGTTCCCGTACCATCAATATATTATAACATTCAGTTAGCTCAGTGACCAAAATTTTGTATAAAAGCTGTTGACTGTATAAAAATAGCTGTGCACATTTTAAAGACGACTCTCATATTAAAGCAAGCAAACTGAAAACACAAAACACTTGGCCTTCTGTGGTAAGGTCATGCTAGCTCACTTGAAGTAGTTTACTCTTTTTAAAGCCTTTTACCTCCTCATCAGATGTTAAGTGTTGAACTGAAGTTTCATTTGGGCTTTGGGATAACTTTATTTCTGGCTGTACATCTGGATGGACAGAAGAGTCCCAGAAGTTGCACTCAGATGCCTGCTTTGTCCAGTCAAGTGCATCCCAAACTATTAACTCACCCACATGAGAACCTGTCACAAAAGTCAAGTCTAGACAGGGGAAAAAAACACACATAGAAATCACATGATACATTAAAAAAAAATCCATTTCACACAAAGTTACAAACCTAGAAAGTTAAGAGAGCCCATTTCTGAGTGAAGCTAGGTAGAATGTGCAGTATATAACTGGACAAAAACCTCTCCCTTTGAGTAAATACTCATTTTGATTACCTAGAATAGCTTAGATGAGCCACAGGTGATGACCTCTCTCCTATAAAACTAGAAAGGAGAACATTCACCCACCACAGTGCACAGTATAGCAAAGCCAAGGACCACCACACCACCAGAAGTATGTACAAATATCTGAAGTTCATTTGTTGCCTTTATACAAAACCCTTCTATTCCTTGGAGAAGTAGGTGTACCAGCACTGCTCAGACACAGCAAAGTATGTCTTTGCCATAAGCAGAAGTACTAGTCACAAATTAAATGGATGAGTTAACAGCAAGATTGAGGCAAGTGCTCATGAATTTGTTAATCATACATGGAAAGGAACTGCTTCAACAATACTTAACGGAGGTAGCACATTGTCTTTTTAAGACCAATACTGCTTCCCTTTCATAATCAAAAAGGAGAAAATAATGGCAACCAGAAACAACTACAATAGAATCCAAGTTTTCTTCTTTCTACCACAGCCCCTTTGTGCCAACCAGGCTGACACACCTAAGCCCAAGGACAAATATACACTCTGTCACACCAGGAATAACTTGTGTGGGCTGTGGGGTTGTTCCAAAAAAAAAAAAAAAAAAAAAGACAGGGAAGAACAAAGTAGAAGAGGTTGATACCTGTAGCAGAGTAGACAGAATTGCAGGTAATAGCTCAGTATTGTCCTAATGAGAAGCAGAGATTGCATCATCCTCCAGAGCCTCTAAATAATGGATCTATACACAGGCCCACACCCGCATACCCAGAATTTTCAGTCACCTTGGGACTACAACTGCAAAGGACGTGGCACTGTATATTCCATTTTAAGAATCAGAAGGAGCAAGAAAAAAATAGCATTTTAAACTTTCCCAACAGGAAGAAGACCCAGAGTTCCATTCCCATCAATAGCATTGCCTCTTTTGTGCCTTTTCTACATCATAACCTGCCTGGTTTCGTTTCACTGTTAATGCATAAATAAAGCCATTATTTCACCACTTTTGCAGCTACACAGGAAGGTACATCTACTACTTATGAAGTTTCATTCCAGTTAAAAGTTTAGTCCTAATAAAAACTCCATAGTTGAAATATCCCACTGGTAACTAACAAAACTAGTAACGTTATAAAATGACTCTTACCATTGACACTGACCAATGACAAAATGTTATCCTGATGGTCAACAAGGCGTTTTATTTCAAGGACATTCCAACCTTCAGACCCATCATTAGAAGCAATCAGCCTAAAAATTACTTCAAAGGTAGAGAAAGAAATTGTTTAAATAAGCTTTATCATTCAGAATAAAATGTAGCTATGCTTAAATAAAACACATCATTTTCAGAAAGACACAAACTAAAACACCATAAATGAGACAGTACAAGATGTGCAAAGCCACTTATGACCACTCATAACACCAAAAAAATGGGACTACATCATTTCAGTGCTATTATTAAGGCCTCTTACTAGAGCAGCTATAGGATAGAACATCTCAGCATAGTAACTCTGAAATTCAGAGCATCAGTCAACATCAGAAGTTGCAGAAAGCAGAAGTGATAAGTATTAGAAGTCTTCATGGATAAGTAAATTGAAAGCAGAACATCTTTCTTACAGGCTTATCTGACTGAAAACTATTATTCCAAAGTATGCGATTTTCTCTAGTAAGGCAATCAAGATCACCAGAAATTAAGACTAAATTTTAACCAGTCTTAGAATTTCTTTCATGACATCTCAAGGGCACTACAAAAGAACTGTGGGAAATTCAGATGGAAGTTGACATTGTATTCCAATGTTGAAACACAAGATGACTATTTTTAATTTGCTCCTGATTCTTTGATCAGAATATCAGATTGCTATTTTTCAGCTAAGTGTTAAAACATATTGAGCAAAGCCTATTGTTTTGCTCATTCAGTGCTCTAATATTTCTCCTGGATTTTCTTCCATATTTTGAAATTTCAGTAATTCTATACAACACTTATTTAAAAGACTTTCCACTGGCAGCTAACTGATGATTTAGTTTGCATACATAGAAAATCCTGTATCCAAGTGAGCAAGAGAAACCATCACACTGTTTCATTATGGCTTTGGACAGTACAATGAGATCAGCAATATCTCATACTTCTGATCTTGGGATAAGGAGGCTCTAGACAAGCCTAATATTTGACAGCTCAGATAATGAATTCCAGACCTTCTCCAGAAGGACAAATGTATATCACCACAGTCAGATCTGTACAGGTGGCAATAACAGTAATAACAAAGAATACACAAAAGTTTTGTCATGCAGATCTCAACAAAATTCCTGAATGAGATTAGTAGTGTCTGCCTCTTTGTCAAATAAGGGAAAAAGGAAGAAGGTTGCTAACCACACTCCAATAACATTTACTTTTCCTATACAATTCCAGCAGCATGCTCGTTACACATTGTTCTGATAAGCATCTGTTATATAGGAACATGAACATACTCACTTAGCTCTTTGCCAACAGCTGCTGCAACACAATTTTTAGGCAACTCAACCAAAGCACTGATACCTTTGAAAAAATACAGGATACAAAGGAGAAAAGGATATTCATTGGCCACAAGAAAACACAGCAAACTGCTAATTCCTTTATTATTAAGTTCTCCACAATCTTCCTTCCACTTAGAAGTTACTATCAAAATAAAAGATATTGCTTGAAGGGAAAGTTAAGCAGCATTGGACGTGAACAGACTACGTCAGGTGGAGGTAGAGTCAGAAGTTTTAGTCCTGAGTCCAACAGAATTACGCACATCAAACCTGAGGTGAAGCTGATAATAAACAATCCTTTTATTCTCAATACAGTTAAGAAGGTTATGTGCTAAAGCTGGACAATATTATGGACACTGTGGTAATTATTGAGACTCTAAACATATGCAGTACCAAAGTTATTAGATACTGATACTACCAAAGTATGCATGATATGAAAATATTGTGCAGAGCCAGCTGAAGAAAAATAGGGCACAAGATAAAATGTCCAGCTTGATGTTACTCTGCCTTCATCGTGCACAGAATTTCCCCAGTCTGTGCTTGCCACACCACTAAAGGAAAATTCCCCAAGGAATAAGCAATCTGTTGCTTTCCCCACTAAGGAAGCAAAAGATTAGGAGGGAAGAAAGGGCCCGTGCTGCATATCCCATTGACCCCTTGTACAAAAGTTTCAATAGCACCTCACTCTAAGCACCAACTGGTACGTGGCGTGATATTTCATACTGAACCAAAAGAAGTATTAATATCCTCAAAGATTCATGTGGTTTTGCCTGTCACTATTCCATTCTATGACAAAAATAAGGAAAACATTGTTTCCAACTTTGAATTTGATTCACAGTTTTAAAGGTATCTTTGTAAAGTATGGCAATAATATACAACAATTTTCTTTGCACAGACAGATAATATTTAAGCTTATGAATAGAAAAGCACAACTGACATTAGGATCTGATTAAATTTACTGTATTTCCATCAAAAGCTGCATTTTCCACAGCAAAAGTACTGATTCTTAATAATAAAAAGAAATCTTTGCCACACTACTACTACACAGCTTTACGTAGGAATAATAAAACTCCCACTCATTCACAGAGAAAGCCAGCCAAAGGATCTGGTCCACATTACAGCAAACATGTAAAAACCGCCATCCGAGGTCTAGTCCTGTAAGTTCAACCTAAGGTACAGTTACTGAGATTTGACGTATTGTAAAATTCATACAGCACAGGAGATTAAAAGCAGTCTTAATTCTGAAACGATTAAGTCTGACATTTAAAAAAATAGAGAGTGACTCTAATACATAATGTTATCATTAGAATTAAAGAGAATTTGCCAAGTTGGTTTTGCATCATTATACAGATCCATTTTACTTGCACTTTAACAGCTATAATGAGTCATTTACATTTTTACCTGCATCAGTAAGATGACTGGTCTTACACAAGAGATCTAATTTTCGGTTCCAAACACATAGATCACTCCCTCCAGACAACCATACATCCAGTCTTTGAAGAACTGTCAAACACTGCAGAACAAAAATCAGATATATGTCCCCTGCAAAAGTTCTACAGGGAATTTCTCAGTGAAATGATCATGAGCTTTAGCTAGATAAAGCTGTAAGTACTATGAAATACAGTATCAAGGTGTCACTTTCCTGAGAAATACAGATTTAATTACATTCTATATGTTATATTTTTTCATCAACAATGCAAAAACTGATTTTTAGATTGCCTTTTCCAACACAATAACAAAACCAAGCCATAAAATGACCTTTGTTCTACATCTTTTCAAAAAGAAAATCACAGTGTTAAAGAGTTCCAAAAATAAATTAAGAATTGTGCCCACATCTCAACCACTCATTACATACCTGTTGTTAAACCAAACACTGCTGTTCATTTTAACACAACTGCCCATATGGCCCATGAGCCATACATAATAGATTCTTACATATAACAAAACAACTGACATACCTAAGGTTTCCTCGCTTACCTTTACAGTAGAATGGAAACACGACACTTTCTGAACCTGTCTGCCACTACTGCAGTCCCAAACCTGACTTTATTCATTAAGGAAAACAAAAGGTTTTTATATATGATATTTATAACTCCTGTGTTTGTAACTAAATGACAAACTGGGAAATACGTATGCAGAGACTCAGTCTTCTAAACCCTGATTGTCTTTTCAATATCTGGCCAAAAATGACATATTAATAATATGGATTCGTTTTCGTAGCAATGATTGCAACTTCTTCGGAGCAATAACTAGTAAAATCCTAGTGTAATCCAATTATACCTACTGAGTATTATCAGCCAATAAATTTAAACAACCTGCAGCCTGTCTCAGTGTTACCTTTAAAAGTAAAAGCCACCAAAAAGCCCACAGAAATTTGAATCCTCTCCAGATCTAAGGATACAATAACTGTTCTGTCAGCTGATGCTGTTAAAATCAAATATTTTTTCTCTTCAGAAGCATCTGACGAAGAAAATGGTGCTATAGCTGTAATTTTGTGTGTGTGTCCATGAAGTTCAAAAAGTTTTTCTCCAGTCTGAAAAATAAAAACATGGAAAACTAAGGCTAAAATTTGGAAAATGCCTACTCTAGCACACAACATAGGTACCAAATGATTTTTGAAAGCAAGAATTTCTAAGAGTCTAAAATCTCCCTTTCTTAAGAAATTTATGGATTTACTTCTTACTACTTTCAATACTGTTCAAGATCTTACCCAGAATTGAATAACATATTAAGTGTAAAGGAGTAGTACATAAGAAAAACTACTCTAAGGGTAAAAAAAACCAACTCTAAAAGCCCTTAAGAACTAAAGTTCTCCAATAAAGTCCTTTCACTTTAATGCAAATATTGGTCATTCACCCTTTTAATGGATACTAGCATAATTCAGATTTGTTGACAAACCCTCTATTGAAAAAGTTGGATTTTTTTTTTTTTTTTAAGGATTAGAAAAACTTGACCTGTATTTTTGGTACTGGTACGCAGTACTACCAATTTCCAATCGCTTTATTTAGTACATACATTATCTATAGCTGGTGGTTTAGATAACTGCAGCTACTTCTGCTTTGTTTAGTCAGAATGCAAAACCCTACAAACAAACAGGCAGAAGCATACTGGCATTTTAAACATGCAATTAAAATACAGGGTAGTTATAACTGTACAGGTCTTTACACTTGTTTAAGTTTTTAAATTAAAACTACAAAAGATTCGCTTTAACAAAAACATAATAAAAATCTTACAGGAGTAGAAAACAGAACTCAGTTCCTAAGCTGGATATCTAAACAAGTTTTACATTCACACTTATAGAGCACTAGTGTGGGTATCAGGTATCACACTTACAGAGCACTATTTCCATGATAAATCTAATGTCTTAGTAAGGTTTTCAAAAGTTGTAAGATTTTTTTATCACAAGAAGCAATTAGGCCTTGTTTGTGCACTGCATGAAATGTTTAATTTCCTCTTGACTTTGGTGTCTTTCCAGTACCGTTTTGTGTTAGCTCTCCCTTTAGTCTAGTTATACTACAAACAGATATTGCTAATAGAGCCACTGAAATGTACTTAAGTATATGTAAATCTTTGCAGGATTGGGACATTGCTACGTATTTGTTGAGTTACTCGTCAACATTTCAGTGTTTACAGCAAACACCAAACAATTTTAAAAGAAGAATTAAAGCCACAAATTCATACGTAATCCTGCATTTCTCATCATTATTTCATCTCAAATCTCGAAAATCAGTGTCGTCCCAAAACATTCTAAATTTTAAAGCTATTGCTCTTTTCAGTTCACACAACTTTTACTTTCCTAGCTCTCCTTTGTAAACTAAGATTTGACAGACTCCCTCCACTTCTACGTTTTCAAACAGCAGCTCTACACCAATTCTTATTTATTCTGCTTTTTCACTACTAGACATTTCTAACTCCTGTCCCCAACTTTTGCCCTTTCCAGAGCACACAAGCTACCCCCAAAAAAAGAGATAACCTGAGCATTCCAGAGAAATATGACTCCATCATCTCCTGCAGATGCAAACCTGAAATTAAAAAAAATTAAAAAAAAAGCTGTGAAAACTTCAATATAGCATAATGTAATGGAAAAGCAGTAAACAGTTATGTAAGAAAAATATTTACAAGATATATCAGACTCTGGCTTTAAAGAATAAACATGTATTCATAAATCCCAATTACAATTTATAAACTGAAGTCAGTACATTTAAATAGGTGTTTATCAATACACACAATATATCAAATATAAGAACAAGGCTTAAGAATTCCAATGCATACTGTATAAATAGAATCCAACACTACAGAAACAATTCTCCTGTTTAAAAATATGAAATCTTACACACCAAAAAACAGCAAACTCTAAAACCAAATAGTATTAGTAGACCCATGTCCGCCCAAACCATGACAGCCAGCTGAATGCAAGACATCTAACAAGTTACAAACCACTCATCTGAGTTCAACCCAAGAGCAGAGGAGCCCAGTATTTATCACGATACTTTAAACTGTGGCTTAAAAGAACTCCCAAAGGGAGTGCATTTAAGGTGCTAAATTTGACTTCTGCTAAAAATCCAGCTGAAGGCACACCATATGAGGAAAAAACAGGTTCATATTAGCATGTCAATCTCACATTAACAAAGTCTGACCTAAATTCAATCTTTTTTCCTAGGCTAGAGTGAATATCCACCTACCTGCCTGCACCTTATCACCACCACAGCTTTACTGTAGCTGGAGCACACATCCCAGCTATCCCAGTGAAGATGTACTATGAGTTAAGAAAGCCTAGAACAGAAGCAAGACCTTCCATAGAATATTGAATTCAGCTGTTACTTGCAAATATACCTAACTCCTAATTTTTTTTTCTTTTGTTTCAAGCCCTCACCAAGAGTTAAGCTGTTAACATATAGAAAACTGACTGAGGTTTGTAGTATGTGCAAGAAAGTCATGAAGAAGAGAGGTTATACCACTTCTGAATTTTTTTGTTACCAGCTGTGAGTGGTTTCATGAATCATATACATGCCCTTTCTTTTAGACTCTTTGCAGTTAAAATGTTTGTGAAACTTGCTAACGCAGTAAGTTTTCAGGCATAAAGTCATAGGGCTTTTCCCCTCTTTTTCCTCCACATAGACTCCTGGTTTATTCTATTATAGTAAAAAAAAAAAAGTGTAGAGCGTAGGCTGTACTTTCTTCATATCTTTCATTATTTCAAGCCCCTTCTTTAAAAGACTAGAGAAAAAAACAGTCTTCATGGACACCTCTGATAACAATTTCTTACCTTTAGTTGCCTTTTAGCTCTATTATACCTTGTTTTGTCACAACATCAAGAACTTGAAATAGTAAGACCCTCACGATTCAGCAATAAACCTTTAAATTCTAATTCCTTTCTTGAGTAATACTGGAGTTGTGTGCCACTTGAACAAAATTCTGGGAAGAAAACTGGCGTTTGAAAGCAGGCATGAGTGTAATTCATCAACATAGAAGTTCAATAGAGTGTGGTTTTGTGTATTTTCCCCCTCATCTTTAACTAGGATTTCTGTTTAAATATAAAGGTATATTGTAGAGTCAGTTATCCTACAGTTCCATTCTGTTCACCAAAGTAGAGATTCAAGTGGCACCTCATTCTTTTCCAGTCATGATCACCATCATCTCTAACCTTGTCTGCTTCCTGAAGGAGCAAGAAATGGTCAAATGAGCAACAAAAAAAGCTGTTTTTAAAATGTGTTATGAACTCTGTTTGGGTTAATGTGTCAAATGAGAGAGTATTACATGCAATTTTATCTCAGTCCATTTTTTGGAAGACTCTTGCTGAGGCTTAGCCTTCCTTAGTGATCTTCCAATCAATATGACCCTTACTTCATGTTCAAAAAGTACAAGAGAGAAGAAGAAAAAAAAACCCAGCTTTCTGTTACATTTATACAGGATTTATTTAGTATCTTCAAAAACCAATCTGAGAAAATTTTCCACTCACTGGTTTTAGCTGAGCCACTGAGAAAACAAGAAAATCCTTCTGCAAAATTCTCAATAAGATGATATTATCTAAAGACCTGAAGCGTGAAACTTGGCTTACAATAGTTGACAAAAAGCACACAATGGAAAAGCTGCAGAAACTAAATAAAAACATTTCAGAAGCTGAGTAACAATACTAATTTTACTGAAAAGAATCAAGTGAAAAATATTATCAGCTGTTTAACAATCCAGAAACTACCAGTGAAGCGACTCCATTAAACTCCACAAACTCTCAGAATATTAACCAGCTATAGAACTTACTCCTTTTCCATATGCTATTTTACAACCTATCTTCAATGCAGCCATCCAGGCTTTAGTTTTACACTGATTATCATTAGTTTAGCTTCAATAATTTACCTGCTATCATACAATGAAGCCCAAAATGGTAAAAGATTTCCTTGCATCAGACAGTGCATGCAATCTAAGAATACTCTCGTATTTCTATAATAACCAATTACATTTTTTGACCATGAGTTTTGAGGAAAATGTACTTTGAGGAAAACTTACTTTAAAGACTTCTTTAGGGAAAAAAAAAAAAAAAAACCTGGAAAAAAACCCCACAAGATTCTTCTATTTTTATATGAATCTTCTGGTGGATTACTATAATGTGGAAAAATAAATTTTATGGCAATGCATGTAACTTGTCTGATATATATATTTATGACATCAAAAATGAAAACTAACAAGCTAAAAATTCTCCATGGAGTCTTCTGTGAAATTTTTACATATATATATATATATATATACTTACAAAATTACTAGAAAATAAGGCTCTGCGGGCATTTTAAATTTGGAAGAGACCACCTGCCTGACCAATGTGCATGGGGAAGGAGAGAACCTTCCTTCACAAAACACCTGCTCTACACTGCAAGGATATAAACCAAACTCTTACCCAAGTTAAGTTTGTGTAGTGTATTGATGAGTATATTAGATATCCCCTTCTGTGCCTAATCCATAAAAGATATAAATTACTACAGCTCCGTAACAGACAGACTCTTGCCTCCTACTTAAGTTCTTAGTTCTAAAGGTTTTCTATCTAATTTTCCAAATCCGCTTAGAGTCACTACACTTATTATTGACTAAAGGCTTCGCAACCGTACTTTTAAGGCAGATAAATATTTCCTTTCTTGCAGCATTAAGTTAAATTAGAGAACATGCAACGCTAATTTAGACAAAGCAAGGATAGAAGCCAGGTCATAATGTATAACATTCATATAACATAACGTATAACATATAATATTCATTCTCTCAGTCACACTTCCAAAGCGACAACGGTAAATCTAGTGACTTCATCGGTGCTTCAAAACCAGTTTTCCAGATTTTAGATAACTCTGTCCTCAGAGTTCACACTAAAGTTGGACCTAGCTACAAGGAACTAAGAACAGAACAGATAACGATTGTCAGGGAATATAAAAAAAAGAGTTCACAAAGCTAAAAATTGGAAGACAGAAATAAAGGAACTGTCATGTCTCAAAGTAATAGTACAGCAAGTTGAACGTGATCAAATTGCAGTAGGTATGTAGTGCAGAGATTAAGCATATGTTGAATTTTAATACATAGTCATTCCGAACAAAGTGGTGAAAATTTCAAAATTTGAGAAGTTTGGAAAAAAGTTGATTAACCAAAGCTCAAGTGAGCTAAGCACTGCAGTTTCAGAAGAAAGTGTAACAAAAGATTAAAAAGAAACAAACGACAATACTCAATAGTGTTGAGAATGTCAACTGCTACGATGTATCTGTAGCAGTCTATTACATTCTTCTGTAGAATCAAAAGGTGAAATAACAGCTGTCCTCAATTCAAAAACATACAACACATGCATTCACTCAGAACAGAGGCAGACACCACTGCATATTGTTCTGGAGAAAGTGTGTGTATGCATGTACAGAAGGGAACGTTCAACTCAGAAACAGCCTGAAAAAGACAGGCTGAATTAGCTAAAAACATTTATTTCAAACAAATTAATTTATACCAAGAAACATAACTCCATCACAATTTTTTTTCACATGAAAGCATAACTTACAAGAAAAGCCAAAGAAAAGGCAGTGTTCACCCCTTGCCTTTTTTTAACTTCAGGCTTTTCCTGCCCTCCCCCACCAAAAGTGAAGAGAGGATCAAAAATTTTAGTACATTTTCATAAATATTCTCTGAAATATTGCCAAGGATGCTGTGAAATGCAATTTCATACCTGCAATCATCTATTTGCACCAGAAATCGTACTATATCTTGATGACCTTTCAACACAAGGAGCTCCGTGTAAGGATTCTGTATTTGTTCTTCACCAATTGTCTGTACAGACGATTTCTAAAATTCATAAAAAAGGAATGAAATTTATTTTGTACTGATGTAATTATTTTCATCAGGTCTCTGTAATGTCTAACAATCTATGTGTAGATTCCTGTGTGAATGCATAGTTATATTTGAAGTTCAATTAAGTTTCTGATATATCATTTTGCCTTAATGAAAATCATTACAAAAGATAATTTCTTTTGTAATATTATTTCAAGTACATAATATCTTTCTATACCATGTATTTTAAATTATAATATAGCATTTTCTGTTTAACAAAAGCATTTTATACTACTTTAATCACTGATACACCAAAATGAAAACCCAGTTTAGTCATAAGCTGTCATGTGGAGCCAGCTTCATGACTTAATTCACCATACATTCAGTTTTTCATTAAATTATACCTCTTCTGTGAGGTCTGTGAACGTCTCATATCTTTCATCTACCATTCAATTTTAAAATCCTATATAAATATGACATATTTAAAACAAATAAGAATAAATGCTATTCTGTTACATAATATATAAATCATCCCTTGGGACTCTATTCACAAAATACCAAAGCAAACCACTTAAAAAACATAAAGAGTGATTAATCATTTTATAGAACAGCATCTACAATTACCCCCAACTAAACTATTAATTAAAAGAATAATCAATCACTGAGAGCAAGCAGATCACCAGGCAGGGTCAACAAAATATTGCATAGGACTGCAGTTTCAAGGCACAGTAGTTCTGCTATCTCAATCATCAGTTTATTGCAATAGAAGACAACTTTTTTTGTATTTAAGGTCTTCCACATTCTGGAACAACTTGGTATTAGACACTGTTTAAAAAAAAAATAAAATCTAAATAGCTCAAAAGTAACTCAGTGACAGCACTCCCCTCCTAGATATATTTTACATGACAGTCAACATCACCTTACTTCCAGGACTATCTCTTCTCTGAGGACTTCAACAGAACCTACACTGTAAAACAGTAATTACTGAACACTGTACTACATGCAGCATACATAACAGGTGTATGAAAGACAAACATATTATCCTCAGAAACTTCAACGTTTTCTTGTAGGAATAATAAATTATTTTCTATTACTTCTGTATTGGCACTATGATACTATTCTTCAGAAGAGAAATCAGTGTTTATTTTTAAAATGAAGAGGTTGTCAAAATGCTAGTTCTTGTGATTTTATCTTGGTTTTGTGCTATGTGATGCATTTCACGAAGCAACTGTTCCTCATTTTATGCAATTATGTGAGAATAGCAGTTCCCATTTAAAATAATGCAAGTAGAGTCTGCATGGTTAAAAAAAAGTTGGACAAATATGGAAACTTGGAGTTCAGCTGTCAAAAGCTAATCAAAACATTCCTTTAAAAAAATGAGTACTACAAATACTAAACAAATCTCAGCATCACCGGATGACATTAGCAATACTGTAGTCAGAAGACTTCCTTTTTTTTTTATTAATAGAAACATACATTCACAAAACAATTGTAACACTGTTTTGAAAAAGTCAGAATTTGTAACATTAATGTACTAATTCTATATTCTGTTGTTGCTTCCTATTCAGTACAAGACTGCGCTACTTCTTTTGAACAATGTGTCTAATCTTACTCTTTCTTAATTCTAACAACACCTGTGAATATTGAAAGGTACAGTGACTATGAAGTACTATAGATAACAAAATAACAATCTTTCCCCAGTACATACAAGCAGCTATGCTCTCTTCAGATCTTCATTACTATGTACCAAGGTGTTGGGTTACTTGCGCGTTCTTTCTCTGAAGAAAACTATTTTTGATATAAACTACTAATTGAACTCTCTTGTAGAAACACCAAGTTTTTAGAAGAGAAAGCTAGATGTCGATGCTAATGGAATCCACTACAAATTTGCAGGATCTGTAAGCATCACTACAATAATCAGTAAAAAAACCCACAACATTCATCTCAGCTTCAGAACTTCCTATAACCCCTGTGATCTGAAGCACTGAAAAGTGGGATTCTCAAAAACAATTCACTAATTCAATTAGTGAATTCACAATTCACGGATACAAGACTATACAGACATATTTATGTATGTATCATGGAGCATGATAAATTAGCTCATACGGACTGTGATGCTACTGCAGTCAGACTGCTCCCATTACCAGAGCCATTCTGCTTAAGACATATACCATGGCCATCAACTGAAGAGATTTGAGAGCGTAAGTCTAAATTATTTTCAATTCCAAAGTAAAAAAAAAAGAAATGTGTAAGGAGGCATTTACATTTCTTGAATTTAGGACAGCTTTGCCAGAGGCTTTCTCTATTCACCCAGTGCAATGTCAGTCTCATACATCTGGCCTTTTCACGACTGGTTAAAGCCATAGCACATGAAACAAACACAGTTAAGTCCACAGCCCACACACTGCTATGGGCTTCCTTATCCATTTAAGAGTACAAAGAGAATTAATGGTTATGAAGATGATCTTTAAATGAAACAACACTACATAATGCAAGAAAAAAAAAACAAAGCATTTTAGGGACTAACCCTTATCAATATTTGTTTTTCAGTTTTTCCACAGAAAAGCAAGACAAGCACCATCCCTCAGCAAACTAGTTTCCATTACTGCCACAAAAGTCCCGTGAATCGGGTTTAACCAAGCTACGAATGGCAGAATGGAGGAACTGGACAAAACCTTGACTCATGCTCATGCTTTATTAAATCACAGTATAATTAAATCATAGCCAGAATTTAAATTTTGGAGAGGGACACACACCAATGTCTTCTAGCGCATGTTATAAAGCTGTTGCATATTTCCCATTTCCTTTTAAAAACAACTGCACACAAACCTGCTAAATATGACTGCAATACAACCACCATTTTGACAGATGACAAAGGTCAGAGGCATTCGCAGACATTGTCATTCCAAATTGGTACAGACTCAAATTTCCACCAAAGTAACTACTGGCATTTGAAATTAACCGTGACATGGTCATGACTTGTTCATGTAGAGCAGCTGAAAAATAATTACTTCCTCATATTTGTCTAGATTACAAACACACTAAATGTAAGGAGCCCAGTAAATGTGTTAATTAACTCTAAGTCCAGGTTGAGAACTTCAGCAGAGTCTTAGGGACAAGAAAATCTCAATAATCTCTCCCTCGAATCCAGTAAAACTCTTTTTGTGAGTAAGGCAACAGGAAGGATGCCTGTGTTCAGTGCACTACATAGGCCTAGTTTATTTTACTGATGAGAAACTGAGAAGAAATGCTAGAAGACTAATATAAACTACAAGTAGGCCCCTTAACTAGTAAGCTACTGCCTATAATTTACATTTTCGACTGGGGAATCCCGAGGGCAGGACTCTATACGCCTATACGGTATGTACGGGGTACACACCACCCCCACTTGCCAGGACGCGTCGAGCAGGAGGAACCCCGCCAGGGAGGAGGGAGGAGCTCCTGACAGGGACGGCTCCCGAGCCCTTCAGCTCCCGGGCAAGCTCAGCTTGGGGGTTTTGCTGTTTGTGTGTTTTTCGTATTCCTCCCTTTCTCTTCAGCGAAGGTTGAAACCCTTTCTAACAACCAGAAAGCCTCACAGGCTGCGACCTAGCCCTGAAGGCCCCTTCCTCCGGGAAGGACCCTGACGGAAAGGCCTCGGCCAGCGCGCCCCTCGCTCACAGCTCTTCCCCCTTCCCCCCCATACACACACACACTCCCCCCCGACCTAAAGCT